AGGCAAACATACTTCTCACTATAGAAATTTCAGGTTTCCAAAACATCTTTTTTCTTGTAATAAAACGCACAGCATGTACAGGTGTCACCTTTATGTTACCCTGTGGAAATTGGGACTCAGGGCATCAGTATAAGAAAATGCTGATTCTTTCATAACTACTACAGCTGGAATAAAGTCCTTTGTTCTCTGACCCTGGAGTCTTGTGTCTTCTGCCCTGAAAATGTGGTAGACTCCCTAGTTTGCTGCAATGAAGGTAGAACCTTCACAGTTCTTGCCTTCATTCATATCTTTTACCTTTACCTTCTTTTTTTTTTAAAAAAAAAAAAAAAGAATTATTTTATTTATTTTTATCTATTTTTATTTGACCACAGAGGGACGGGGGGAGGGGGTGGTGAGAAAGCAAGCTGCCAGTCCTTGATCCAAACCACGGTCAGCCATGCGTGAGTCCAGCACCCTTAACCACCATGCCACCTGTCAGCCCCCACCTTTGCCTTCTTTTTAATAAATTAATTTTAATATGGAGGTCATTTCTGTTTTTAGATTTTCCATCACTATGTAATCCTCATTCTGTTGGGCCATCTGCTTCAGAGTGATGGAGAGCATGATAGGAATAGAGATTTCTCTGAGCATGAGCCTATTGCCATGTTTTATTTACTGTTAAACAAGTTCTCCAAACATGAACAATATTGTGTGGACTACCATATCATACCATATGAGACATTTGCTTTATCTATGGTATTTTGGCAAAGCCCTGCAGACTGGGGAAGCAAATCTATATTTAGAGTGAGTGTTTCTGAGCGAGCAAGCCACTGCCTCTCTTGTGACAGAAGTGGTCTAAATTGACCAACCCGCAATCAAGATGGTAGGTTGGTCCCCCCATAGAATGGTGTCGTATTGAGGACACGATGTCATTTCTGCTCTTGTTAGGTGGAACCCTCAGCAGTAACTGTAGCTAGATGGGTCTTGGTGAATGGAAGCCCACGTGGCTGAGCTCATGCATAGTCTCCACTCCTGCCATCTTGTGTCTTGGCCATTGAGTCCATCGATCAAGGACAAAGGTAAGGGATGGGCCAACATCTACAGAACATACCATCTTATTCAACTGGATGATTGAAATTCCTCTTTCCTGAGGGTACTCCTTGCTGATTAGTCAAATGGAGTATAGGCTATTCAAGCAATTCTACCCGTATACCTTGTCCTCAGAACTTTCTTGTCACTAATTTTCAAGTTTGCTCCCTCCAAGACTTTCCACTCCAGTCAAACCATTAGCCCCAAATCATGAATTAGTATATAGCCATGAGTTAGTGCATATCCACACCACTGACCACTTTTTGTTTTTTTTTTTTTTTTTCAGATGAAATGAACTGCCTGATGCACAGCTTCAGTTATTTCTAGCTGAGAGGATTTTCCTTAGGGATCTCATGTAGGTCACCTCTGTGTGGCATTGTAGGCCAGCAGCCCTCCGTTCTCAATCATGCTGCATGTTGTGAAGAACCAGCAGGAAAGCAAGCCTGAAGGTTTTCTGTTGCAGTCAATGAGTTATAACAAATGCGTAGCAGGATCTTAAGTGTGCGTGGAGAGAGAGGAGGCAACAAGCCACAGTAAACCCCTTAACCTCAGAGCCAGTTGCTCGTGGACCTCATTTACGCCTTCAGAATGTCCTCATGGCTAATTTCATACACTTGATGATGGAGCGATGCTCTGGCCAGGTAACCTGTGCACAGGCTTGGTGCATTGGACGAAAAAGTGTGATTCTTACTCCTTCCCCAATACACAAGCATTTTATTAATTTGCCAAAAGTCTTCTTAGGGAAGACTGGAAGGTAGGTAAAATCTTGCAATTTCCTTGGTGTATATGGTACCACCTAGTAAGTCAGGGGTTTTTTGGTTTGTTTTTTTGGTTTTGGTTTTTGGTTTTTGGTTTTTGCTTTTTGCTTTTGTTTTTTTTTACTTGGTTCAGGATTTGAATCTGGATATGGATTTAGAAGACCCAACAATTGTGCTGCTAGCAGTGCAATCTAAAAGGTTTATAACAGGGCAGTCATGGAAGCTTTCTTGTTCCCAACTTAGACCTTGAGCTACACATTCAAATATCTAGTCTTATCATTTTCTTTCTCTAAGTTCCCAAGCATGGTTAGAAGCAATGGACCAATTCCACTGCCGTTATTCTCTTTGTTTCTATGAAAAAGTTCTAACCCAGCCGATGCTTGGTAACTGCACTGTGCCACCTGTAAACGCGTCACTGCAGATGGTGTGTGTGAGCATTTAAACGATCACCGGGCTACTGTAGGCCATTGATGTCCAGGGCCTCATTTACCACTGGCCACAGGGCCGTTAGTACCCTCCCATCTACTCAAATCAGAGTGCCAATTATTCTCAACTAATTCAATTTTTAAAGCTTAAGGGGAAAAAAAAAGGGTTATGTGACCAAATAAATTTAGGCAATGCTAGAGTTAACAAAACAGAACTTCACCATCTTCAATATGAAACATTATAAATTACCAGGAGAGAACAGAGAGCAAGTCATTTTTAACAATGGAATCCTTTATTCACTGAGCGTGTTTGGAACACAGATTGGAAAACAACATACTAAGCCACTTTTTATTAAATTTAATTGGATTATCAATTTCCAGCCATAGTTGAGTTTCGAGAGGCTGGAAGAAGCAATAATAATAATCATCGTTTATAGAGAAACAGGTTTTATTAGGGTCCTCAGACATGACTCATGGGGAAGGGGGCCATCCAATAGGCAGCTCTTTCATGATGTATCATGAAGCAAAGGGCTCTTAACACACAACGACGCAATACATTATCCAAAAAAGGAGAGTAAGATGAGGGTATAAATAAATCACTGTTAGGCTTCAAAGGAGAGAAAAATCCCACCTCGTAGGAAAATGTGTAAAGGTTTTGTGAAAGGCTGGGCTTCGGCTATAGCCATGAGAAGAGGAGGAGGCAGTCAACAGCAGAGACAGAAGGAAAGTTTCCAGGCTGTAGAGCCCACAGGAGCAGGTTCGCGGGTTTGCTGTGGTGGTGTTCTTAGGGGAATTGGGGTGGGAGGAGGAGAAAGCTTAAGTTCTTGGTTATCAGTCACGTAGGCTACCTACACAGCAGGGAAAATGAGAACTGATGGCTTTAGGACAAAGGTGGACAATGGAAGGTAGGATGGGATGGAAAGTCTGAGACTGACCTTATTAGTGGAAAGAAGCAGTATACAACCCTCTGGGCATCCAGAGCCTGGTGGAGGAATCTGAAAGAAGGGCGCCTAAGAAAAGCCGAAGGCTCATTCCACCTACCTCATACTTTGGCTAAGGAAAAGGTCTAATCAAATATATTTGGATCCAGGTTCTGTATCTCTACTTGCCAATATAGAGAGCCAAAGACATGTAAGGTACTTCTTGAAGATGTGTGTTATTCCCTGAAGAATCTTTTAGGAAAAGCAAGCAAGACAAGAAATATTTGTTCATTAGATATATTCTGGCAGCAGCCAGAAAAATCCAGAAAGTACCAAGCACATACACATAGTACACTGGATTCTTAAAACACTTGTGGTTTAACTGTTTTGTTATGAACTGTCATTATTAAAGACCTATTACTTTAAACATATTTATAAAAATCATCCAAACATATTTCAAATTGTAAACCAGTGATAGAGTGTGGGTCCAAAAACATAGAAAACGTGAACTGCTTAATTCAGTTTTACAACTGTAAGTGGGGCATTTTTTTTTTTAAACACACCTCCTCATGCTAGTGCTGTAAGGAAGGCTAATGCTCTCCAGTGTCTTGTTCCAGTCAAGAACATCCTGGCTCCTGATTCTCATGTGCTATATGGCACTTTTCTGAAATCTAGTGCTGATTCATTCCACATGTAACCCCTCTGCCCCTGGAAAGGAACCTTCCTCCTGAATCAGAGCAGTTCAAGGCGATGCAAAACTCACAGGCAGCCTATGTCTTTTAGAAACTGCTTAATGAATTGAATCTTCACCTCTTCCAAGGGCGAAGGTTTCCTCTTCCTCCTGATGGAAATCCATACTTTCCCAGTGAGAAGTATGGGCCACTTAAAGCAGTGGCTTGTAAGGGGAGAGCCTATCTCCATTACAGTCATGATGCCTGGCTGGCTGGCTACGCAGTCCATAGCTTCATTCCTACCTTGGCTCTCTTAACAACAGATGGGTTTACTTAGGATAGCATGTCACCCAACCCCAGCGGCCACGTTTCCCTTTGGTTCCAATCACACTAAAGCACATAGTGGGAGCTCACACCGCTAGAACCAGTCATAGGAACCCCGGATGGTGAATGGGTTTAGGCAGGGAGTCAGGGCACTAAGTGATTGTAACAAACTATAAAGCAAATTCCTGTCATTTTCCTACTCAGAATGAAGCTGACATCCTACACGTGGTTAGGTTTCACACAGGCTTGAGGCTCTGGGAGGTAAAACATGAGAAGAAACAAGATCCTGAGTATCGCATACGAGGCTGGGAAGGCAAGGCCAAGTCAGCTGTGTTCGCTCCGCCATGTTTAGAGAGAAGATCAAGCAATGTCTCTCTAAAGGTGACTCTGTCCTGTGCAAATCATGCCTGTCACACCGAGATTCTGGCAGTCTTTATCCAAACATTAGTTTTCCTGAAACTGTTACTTCTGACTCTAAATGGAGAGATGTTAAGTCTACACATAACTAATTTTGTCATCCTATGACTTTTGCTGAGTATAGCTCCATCTGTCCCATGCATGCACCCTCCATGCACATGTGTGTGTGTGTGTGTGTGTGTGTGTGTGTGTGTGTGTGTGTGAGAGAGAGAGAGAGAGAGAGAGAGAAGGTAGGGCTGTAAGCTACTTTGTTACTTTGTTTCTGTGCACCGATGTGTCACTTCAAGAATGGCTTGTGTGTGTGACTGAGAGACCTGGTTTCAGATGCCGGCTGGAGCATCCTCAGGCTCATTAATAATCAAGGAGCCTGACAGGGAGGGCACCTTTGCCTGCCTGTGTGTTCCACTGTGTTTGAGGGAAGACATGGATCTCTCCGTTTTGCCAAATAACAACCATCCTGACAAATTCCTGCAGCTTGATGTGAAGTCTTTAATGAGCTCAGCCCTTCTTCCGGCGAGTCTGGTGAGGTTTCCAGGCGGAAATTATCCTGCTGCACAACACTGGCAAAACCTCGTCTACTCCCAGGTAAGAGCTGAGGGCACCCAGACAGGGGCAAGGCCTTGTTTCTTTCTCGTCCTCTGCCATTTCATCACTGGTGCAAAAGGAATACAACTGTGGGAGACAGAGTAGAGGCAGCTGCACTCTCTTCCAACATAGCTTTCTCCTAACATCCGGCGCCTGTCTGATCTCTTTATAAAGTACGTGAAGTCTCCTCCTCCGTCAGTTCCCTCCTAGCACTTGCTTCTCAGCCAGCCCTCATTTTAGATTTTATTTAGCTCTCATTTTATTCCTGCCCTTCAGAATTTTCTGAATGGATTTTTACATTTGCAAATAAAGCTTTGGGGTGGGAAAAATGCCTGCTTCTCTCTTTTCGTGTTGTCTACGCGTAAAGCATCAGAAGCTTACACTGTGGGCATACACGAGCCCCCGAGACAGCTGGAAACCTTGCCTCTGCCTCATTTAGATGAGCCTCCTTTCATTTTATACACAGAAGACTCTGACAGCAGAACAATGAGAAACCTAATGATAGACAGGAAAAAAAAAAAAAAAAACAAGTAGCACTCTATTCTTACAAAGGCACTAGCTATTATTTTTTATATTCTTACTTTCCACAAGTGTCCATGTGGACAAGACATACCAATCAGACCTTTAAAGCCATGCAGATTTTATTTCTCCTGCTCGTCTTTTCTATCTTCCTTTTTGCTGACCAAAAGAGAAGAATAAAACGGTGATGAATTGCATGTGCTGGAATGAACATAAAGGCCCCGACTGTTGAACAGCTAATGACACAGGAATAATCTTTGTTTTAAGACATGAGGCCTAATGGGGTTAAGCGTTAGTCAATGCAGAAACAGGAAGGAGTGTTTCATTTCAGAACAGATGTGACTGACCTACAAACCCCTGCAAGTCATTAAATCCTTTGGAGTGGTTCAAATTCCCTGAATAGAAATTTGTTTTCTTTTAAGGACAGTTGCTACTCATGAGTCTTGGTGTAAAGTGATTCCTTTGTGGGATGTTTGTGGGCTCTTTGGGATCTTTATCATGAGCTCATTCAAAATCAAGTACACTTGAACGATTATGTAAGTGTTTTTCTCCACCTATAAGGATTTAATTTATTTCCATTGTAAGGCGGCCTATTATGACAACCGGCCTTTTTTGAATGTTGCCTCCTTTCCTTTCAACTCTCCTATCTTTTATTCACACCATTTTGTTGTTTTGTTTTGTTCAGCTTTAGGTTATGTGGAGTGAAATTTCTCCTTTTTCTTCTTTATTGTTTATATCATAATAAAATGATTCAAAAATCAGTTCAGAAAACCTTGGCCCTCCAATGCTATGAAGTTTAGTCTAAGAAAACATATCCAATACATTCTTTTGAGGTTGGAACATATCGATCTAACGACTTTCGTTTGGGACTAAAGTTGACCTACTTCCTTCATGTGGAATTTTGCAGTGAAAACTGTGAATGTTGTTCCTAAATCTAATGAAATGCAAATTTTTAAAAGGTAACTATTTCTACAGGCCCTGCTGGGTTAAAACAGTAATTCAAGAAAACACGAATTCAAGAAACACCTGCTTCATAGGTCTTTGAATATGTGCTATTGGAAGTGATAAACTTCACATAAACTAGATTTAGTTATGCTTTTGTCCAGAACGGAGTGTCCAATGACCTGATACAAACTATTATTAAGTATGAAGGTGGTGTGGCACAAATGACAGGCAACGCGTATGTTCACCACTTCACCATGTATCAATGAACCACTCTCTTCTTGGGTGAATCTTAAAATCCAGGATCGATACATTCGTTGGATTAAAAAAAAGTAAAATTTCAGAGACATAGACATATGAGAGTTTCAGATAGTTGTAATGATACCCAGAAGACAACAATGAATATTCCAGATATATTGAGGTGCTGGGCACACAGAAGGTAGCCATGGCCAAATATAATAGTTCTTCATTTAAAACTCTCAGTCTGTTGAGGAAGCATTAAACCAATGGGAAGAACATGAAATAAGTAGTTTAGAAACTTGGACTCTTGTCTCAAATTCACTGTAAGCCAGTTGAGAGACTTTTATCATGGCCCTTAATCAGAATATGCTTCTGTTTTTCCACTTGTAAAATATGGATAATATTCTTTTGGCTTAGTTCCTTAAAAATGAGAGCAAATAGGTGCAGACAGGTGGCATGGTGACTGAGGCGCTGCCACATGGTTGACTGTGGTTTGAGTCCTGAACCGAGCATCTTGCTTTCTCATTTTCTCTCTCTCTTTCTGTCTCACTCTGGTCAAATTAAAAAATAATAATAACAAATAAATAAAATAAATAAAATGACTCTTAAAAAACAAAGTGAGAGCAAATAAAATATAGAGTAGAAGCAATTTAGTAGCAGAATTTTCTATGAAAGAGTAAGGCGTACGTATGGAAGTACGTGTGTTATGTATTATTGTTTATTAGTATTTAGCGATATTTCAAGATGTGTCAGTTATTCTTTCATTAGAACTTGGAAAATATCAGATAATTCCATTTATATTACTCTATGGTGTTTGGGATACAGATTACCTCATGGACTGTCAATAAACTTAACCTACAAACATTACCTTTTGTAAAAAAAAAAAAAAAAAAAAAAAACAGTTAAAACAGAAATTTCCTAAATTCCAAGTATCAAGTTGAATTTAAGTTATATGTGTCTTTTCTTTTCTGTCTTTTTTTATTTTTTTTTTTAATTTCTTTGCCATAGGACACTTGCGTTCTCCAGAGAGAGACACAGAGAGAGAAAATGAGAAATCACCCCTGGGGATGGCCCCATTTAGAATTCCCTTCTCCTCCATTCTCCTCTTGGGATTTTGGGCACACACACACACACACACACACACACACGTTCAGGTCTGGAATAGCAGTAGATCATGTGGGAGTCCAGCACCATAACTACCATAACACCTGATGACCCCTATATGTGTAATTTTTATATCATGATTTATCCTAATTTTTAAAAATGTGCACTCCACTTTCAAAGGAAATTCTCGAAGCCATTTTTACACAAGGTACAATACTGTACCATCTAGAAAATAAGTACTGGTGCTCTCAGTCAAGTCAAAACCTGAGATACTGAGGTCTATCATGTTTGCAG